GTATGGAGGGGAGTGGCAGGGGGTTGAACAGTGATGGACGTTAGAATGGTAGGGGCGGTCAGGAAAGCTAACCCGGAACTCGGTAATAGATTAGGGAGGGAGAGGAAGGGAGGCAAGGAAGACTCCTGGGATCTGGTACTGAGGGGCTAGAAGGTGGGGAGATTGGGGGCACTGGAAGGATGACTCAGTGACATTTGACAGACAAAGGACAGGGAACAGTCCAGGGAATACAGGATGCCAGACTCTGCTGATACCACCACTGTTCACAGAGATGGGGGTCCTTCGTTCGTCCCTGGCTGTGCTGGGGCTGGGGTCCCTGGGGGCTGCCTTCACCTGTGCCACCATCTTGAGCAATGAACTCTTCCCCACTGTGCTCAGGTGAGGCTGTCATTGGCTCAAGGAAAGAGCATTATAGCTAGAGGGGTCCCCATGGGTTTCCCTTCCACATGGTCTCAGGGCTCCCCAGTTAAGCCTCCACACTGCCTGGCCCACTGGGCCTCCCTGGACCTAGTGGAGTTGGGCCTGGTCAAAGGTCAAGGCCCAGGGCAGGAAAAGTGTGACTCATAGGCAAATGTGCCCCCACAGGATGACAGCAGTGGGCCTGGGCCAGGTAGCAGCCCGAGGGGGAGCCATCCTAGGCCCGCTGGTGCCACTGCTCAGCGTCTACGGCCCCTGGCTGCCCCTGCTGGTCTACGGCGTGGTATCAGTGCTAAGTGGCCTAGCTGCCCTGCTGCTGCCTGAGACCAAGAACTTGCCACTGCCCGATACCATTCAAGACATCCAGAAACAGTGAGTAGACCAGCCGGGGACCACCTCTTCATTCCCTCCCTTCCTCCCTCCCTCCCCCAGGCTGACAGGTGGACTCTACCCCTCTCCCTTCACCCCACCATGTGGAGGAACAAATGGCCCAGCCACCCTCGCGAGGCTGTAAGGAGAGAGAGCGCTAGCGAGTGAGCTGGCTTTTGTTGGGGAGAGGTCCTGGGTGTGGTAGGTGTTACTGGGGCCACTAAAGCCATGGGTGATTGACAAGGCTATCCCCCACCACCCACCCCATCCTGATATGCTCAGTAAGCTCAGACCTGAGCCCCACGCAGGATGTTCAGTCATCAGCATGAACATGGACCCAAGGGTCAGGGGTCACTCTGCTCCTTAGTCACAGTTTCCTGTCTGTCCTGAACAGGTCAGTGAAGAAGGTGACACATGACACAGCAGGCCAGTCCATCCTGAGGTCTACATGGCTGTAGCCTCCTGGAGAGTCTGTGATTGGACTGGAGGAGGACCATGATGGCAGCAACGAGACGGGAGAAGCAATGGGCAGAGCTGGCAATGGCGGGTGAAGGCACTGCCTCCAAGCCGAAACATAAGAATTCCATTCCTGGAACCCACACGGTGGGAGGAAAACTGACTCCACAGAGCTGCCTTCTGACTTCCACACGGACAAAAGTCCCTCCCATCAATGATACACACAAATAAATAATTTATATAGAGAGAGAAAGAGAGAGAAAACAGGTGAATGAAAAGGAGGAAAAAGAAAGAGAAAAGGAAGAGGAAGAGAAGGAAGGAGGAAGAGGAGGAGGAAGAGGGAGCAGGACAAAGGGGTGGAGGGAAGAGGAGGAAGAAAAGATGGTTCTTTTATCCCCTGCAAACAGCCACGGGGAGCAAAGAGCTCCATTTCCAGGGGTACCTTCAGAGGGCTGCCTTTCGGGGCCTCCCTCTAACAGATGGGGCAAAGGGCAGTCTGAATGATAGAAGACTCCCCAAACACTACTGTTACCCTGACTCCCCCTGAGGCTGCACACCAGAGAGAGGCCAAGACCACAGGACACATCCTCACTGCCCACTACTCCACCTGCCCCAGGACTCAGAACTGATCATCCTCTTCTTTAGCTCAGCAGGAGCAAAAGGGTTCAGCTTCTGTGTCACCGAGGCCCTTGGTCAGCTGGCCTGGCCTCTTTCCAGCCTCTCCCCACGCCCGTCACATGCATGTGACTGCCCGGGTCTTCTTCCTGTTTCCCCATCTAACATTCTCCTAAGCCTTCCAGACTCACCCTGGGGCCTTCCTTTCCAGGGCTCAGGGGCAGCTCATGACTCTGGTGTCATTGTACCCGTGGTCAGGGCTACACATCAGCCTCTTCCCAGCATCTAGCAGGTCGGTTCCCTGAGGGTCACAGGTCCTACATCCTCACTCACACAGAGCCTGCTGGAGGGCTGCCGTGGAGGGACTGGCTAAAGATAAAATCAAAGGAATGGCAGCTCCTCCTGGGCCCCTGAGGCTCTGCAGGGGAGGAGAAAGGCTGGCTCTCCTGTGCTCTGAGCCAGGTGCCTGTCGCCAGTCCCTTTCACAGTCTACATCAGAGCTCTCTGCATCTTGCCATGTGCTGTCCTTTCTCACAGATGAGACAGCTGAGGCCTGGAGAAACAGACTGCCCGTAACACACAGCCAGGAGGAGGCAGGATCAGAACACGAGTCCCTTGTCTGTATGTCTCCTGAGCCCTGCTCTGGCCACAGTGCCATCTAGCACAGAGAAAGACAGAAATGCATGCGACAGGACCTCTGTCCCTCTTAGAATCAGCCAGGACTCTGGGTTCTGCTGAGGTTGCTCACAGGAGAAGCCACGCGGTGTCCCAGAGACAGTGTGCCGCCCAGGCGGTCAGTAGCTGGCCCAACAGCTGCACCACCTGTGGCACACTTACACGGTCTCTGCATCTACCTGTGTGCTGCTCTTGGGTACCTCAGTAAAAAGGCTGCAACATGCACCCATGCACAAACATGGATGAGAAACAGAAGACAGCCCTTGCCCTACACGCTGGTCCTGCAGGCTTTGCTCCTTGGCTGTGGCTCTTGAGTCTCTGAGAGACTATGTCCTTTGGCCATTTTCCTTCTCTCTCTCTCTCTCTCTCTCTCTCTCTCTCTCTCTCTCTCTCTCTCTCACACACACACACACACACACACACACACACACACACACACATTCTAGTGATACTCCCCAGACAGAAGGGAGAGGTAATATTTCTGGTTCCACAAGCAGGCAGAGTTGTTCCTCTACCCTCTACCCTCTACCATATACAGAATGGCCACCCCTGATCTACCCAGGGGGCCGAGAATTTTCAGGACAAAGGGTTCTGTCTCTCTGGTGAATGACAGCCTCGCTGCATCTGACATCACCTGACAAACGCTGAGGAAGAACTTGGGTTGTTGCCCACACCCATCTGGAATGTGCCCTTTTTTGATGCCTACTGTGGGGGTCTCTAACCTCAAAGCTGCTGGGATTCCAACAGAAAAGCCCTGAGAACCTTTTGGAAAGGTAAACTGAGTCATTAGCGACATCCAAAACTCTCTTTAGAAAACCAAGCCCTTGAGTGACAGGTCTTGGCCTGATGCTGAGAGGCAAATGGAGTCCCAGTTACGTGGCAACCAGCACTAATGAAGCCTTCCTTTCAACCCCTAGAATACATCCAGCCTCAGCCAGGGTCACTGTAACAATCGCTCCAGTCAGAGCAAGGCCACTCCTTCCCTTCTAGTCACAAAGGCCCTCCTGCTGTCTGTTTTCTGTAGCTAACAGTGAGGTGAAGAATAGGAGTCTAAACCTGGGCTTTGAGCAGAGAACAGTAGTAACACACCGCCCCAGGGGTGAGGCATGACAAGCTGGGGACAGGACACCCTGGCAGCACTGCCCCACTTCCAAGCCTCCCCGGACTCTCACAGGTGAGTCAGTGTGATCATCCCAGGCTCCCAGACCTGCTGCACAGAGGATGAGCAGGGCAGGAAGCCAGTAGGTCCAGGGGGCCAAGGAGGGGCCAAGCTCACAGAGAGCCACCTGGACTCAGGAGCTGGAGGTGGCATACACGCTACAAGTGGGAAGCAGAGCCAGGCAAAGTCAACAGCACCGAGAAACTAGCTAGCCACTGCCACCCTGGCCACCAGAAGAGACTGTACCCCGTGAGTGGCTGCTACATACCTACCATCTGAGAAGCCAAGGTCATGGAACCCCAGTCAGGTGGCAATCCCCTTAAGACCACACACAAGCCCCAGGTGTCCCCCACCTCAGCCCAGCAGGGACTTAAATGTGAGACACAGAACAGCTGTCCAACAGCCTGATGTTGTATTCAACTCGAAAGTCTGGGAAATTGCGCCAGCAAAATGGCTCAGTGACTGTGCGGTGGGCAAAGCCACTTGTCACCAAGCCTGAAACCTGAATCCATCTTCAGGACCCACGGAGTGGAAGCAGAGAACTGCTCCCTGTAAGATGTCCTCTAAGGGCTTACACATATCACACTAAACACATAAATATTTAGAGAAAACTTACTGACAGTCAGGTGCACCCACTGAGGCCCTGACCAGGCCCAGACCAGGACCTAACAGCACACACCCCAGAACAAACTACACAGGACTGTTGGAATTTGGAAAGTTTTTGTTTTCTTTTTCCCACACATTTCCGGGTTTGGGGTGTTTTCCAAGACTCAGACACATTTGTTAACAAAGAGAAAAAAACTGGGGGAGCAGGGAGCCCATGGGCGGAGAAGTGACCCCAGCCATCCGCAGACACAGCCTCGCTCCCTCCCTTCCCTACACCTGCAGCTAGCCGATGCTACAGACCGCAGCTCTGGTACCTCGATTATTTGTTTTTAATATATATCTGCATTTGCCTTTCCCCTCCCCCCCGCCCCCCACCCCGCTCCTCCAGCGGCTTCCCAGAAATGCACATTGCCCGGCAGCGACACACACAACAGGCCTTGGCCAGGCCCAAGCCCTATGCCTGGGTGACTTCAGGCAGGAGCTTCTCCTTTTGAGGGGACTTGGGGCACTAGGAGAATGAACCCCACTGCCCGGACCCAGCCACCCAAGTTGGGCCGCTCTGGTCCCACCCTCCCACCCTCCTTCTCCCAGCGTCTCTGGAAACCCAATGGGAGGGAAGCAGAGAAAACTAAAGTTTTTTTTAAGCTTGAGANTATTCAGGGCATTAGTAAAAGTCTCCACTCGTTAAAACATATCGCTACCATTTCCTTAAAAAAAAAAAAAAAGAAAGAAAGAAGAAAAGAAAAAAGAAAAAGGATTTAAAAAAAGAAAAAGAAAGAAGGAGAGGGTGAGAAGGAGGGTAGGGACAAGAGACACAGCAAGCCTGAACCAGGACAGAAGGGCTGGGAAGGAGAAAGAAGGCCAGAGGAACAGGGAGGAAGGAAAAAATCCGAGAGAAATAAACAAACGGCGCAGTGGACACTTTACAAAAACCCCAGCCTTCCTTCCCGCCCAGCCCCACCAAAATAAAACTACCCCCCTTAAAAAAATAAATCAACCCAGGGCTGTGAGCACGTGCCCTGCCTGGACGGCGCAGAGCTGAGAAGGATAGCCAGCCCCAGAGCTGAAGTGCGGCGCCGTGGGCAGCGGGAGGGAAGGGGATGAGCACACAGTTATATTCCTTTTCTTTTTTGCGTTTCCTCTTCGTGGGAGAAGCCTGAGGCAGCCAGGGAAAGGGTCTCCAGGTCCCCCTGCAGGGAGAGGGCCGCACCCTCCTCCCGGGCCTCCCGGGAAGAGCAGTTGGCAGTGGGGCGCGGTGCCTGGACTGGGTGCTCAGACGTAATACTCCTTATCTTTGTTCTTCTTGGCCTTGCTGGGCGTCTTGGGGGCAGCAGGGGCCTTCTCCTTCACCACTGCCCCATTGCTCTGGGCCGAGTTACTGATGTAATTCCGACTCTGGTCCACTTGGTAGGAACCCTCGTCGCGGTTGCGGTACTTGTACATGGCATAGAGAAGGATGAGGATGCAGAGCGCCGCCGCCGCCACGATGCCCACCACCATGCCCGTGGTGCTGCTGGATTCGCGGATCACCTCCACCGCGCCCGGGGGGCCGCGTTCTCCCGGCCCCGTAGGGTTGGCTGTGGGCAAACGGGGGAAACCGGGGGCTGAGGTCACGCCGGGGCGCAGGGGAGGCGGTCGCCGCGGCTCGAAGGCCGTGGGGACCCCGGGCCCCAGGGGTGGGTTCTCCAGCAGTGGCTGCAGCGGGTCTCGGTGGTTCATTTTGCCCGCAGGCAGGTTGGGGGCTGGGGCGGAGGGCGCAAGTAGTACCCCGGGGGCGCCCGTGGCCCCATCTGTCCTGAGGTTGGGTCGGGGCACAGGCTTGCGGGGCGACAGGAGGGTGGTGCGGTCCGTGACCAAGGGGAAAGTGGTGTAAAAGTCCTCGTCGTCCGTGGGGGGGAGGCTGGAGTCAAAGACCTCCCCAGAGGCGAAGCCCGAGGCCTCCACGGGCTCCTCGCAGTCGCTGTCGTCGCGCTCAGCCTGGCACGGGCCCCCCGAGGACGGGCGGCGCGCGGCGGGCGGGGGCAGGGTGTCTTGAGTGGCACCCATGCCCGTGAGAAAGGGGTAGAAGGTGGGGGGCGGGGGCACGAAGGGGGACCGGGTGGCCACGGGAGGGGGGTCTAAGGAGTCCTCCGTGATAATGGGCAATATTAACTCTCCTCCTAGAAGAAGAAAGAGAAGAGAGAAGAGAGGGCGTCAGCGAGGGCCGGGGCGCGGGCGGCCGGCACAGAGAGAGAAACAACAGCCTCACACCCAAATCGGTTCAATCGGCTTTGGCGGAGACTAGCGCGGGCCGGGCCCGCCCGCCAGCCGGCCAGCGCCTGCGCTTTAAGCGGGCTGCGGCTCGGATGCCCTGGGCACCCCACGCGCGGGCTCTGTGACTCTGGGTTTTTGGTTTTTTTGTTTCGTCTTAAGAAACCAAACGGAACAGAAAGGAAAGGAAATTGAAAAGAAACGTAATTTTTTTTTCTACTGGTTTAAGGCTTTAAAAACATACAACAGCAGCATTTAAACAAACCTAACAACAATATCTTTTAGGGTTTTTTTCTATATATTTCTTTTTGCTTTTTTTTTGCTTTTGTTTTTAAAAAAGAAGATAGCATACCACGGAATTCAGGCAACTTACATCAACAAATAGGCCGTGTGATTTTAGCATGAAGAAAAAAATTACAAACAGAGCTGTGTAAGCGGGTTCTCCCGAAAAAAAATAAGAAAAAACAACTTTTCCGTACAACGTTTTCTGTCTATCTGTTTGGCATCTCCCTCCCTGATTTACTCCCTGGACAGCCTGCTTCCTCCAGAAAACTCGCTCTCCTCCCTCTCTCGAGCCCTCTTCCCCCTCACTAAACACAAGGCTGAAACTCGCACAGTGCAGGCTAGGGCAGGGGAAGTGTCATCGTGGGATAAGGAGGGGTCAGTAGGGGGGCATGGCAAGGAGGGAAGGTGGCAGGCCTATGTGGGTGTGAGTTCTTGGGGAGGGGGCTGGCCATGGGCAGGGCCTTGGAGCTAATTTCCATGGGCCATAGGAGAGGAGACTTTGAACGGGAATGCATGTGTGGGACAGTAGGCAGGGAGGATCAGGCACATTGAAGCTGGGGGTTGTTCCATCGGGTTCTGGGAGGTGGTGAGTTCAGAAGAAACATGGAGGTGGGGAGGACTGGGAGTGGGGGGGGGCATCACATGATGTCTGAGCTAAACCTAAAGCTCCACTTTCTTCACCCTCCACCTCTGACCCCCACTGACTTCCCCCCACCCCCTCCCCAGAACCCCCATGGACCGCCAGAACCTGGCCAGGTTATGACTGCCTCTGGCCCTCTTATTATTGTTAAAACAATAATGAAACAACGGAAAGAAGAAGAAAGCAAAAAAAATAAAAGAAAATACATACACAGCCATCTGGGAGGGGCAAGCTGGCTAAAATAGGGCCCAGGGTAACTAGTGGGGAAGGGCTGGTGCTGGGTAAGTCTTCCCTTTAAGTCTGAAAACTCGAGTACCCTGGACAGAAACTGCAATTCCCATCAGCTCCCCACGGGTGGGAACTATAGCTTCCACTAGCCCTTTAGGGGCATAAACTACAACTCCCATCGGTCTCTGGGTCAATAACTACAACTCCCATCAGCCTCCTGCACCTCTTCACTAACCGAAGTGCTGCAAGCTTCTGACCTCTGGTAGACAGAAGAAGCTGGGTCAGTACTAGGCTGGAAGGAGGGCTCAAACTCTGGCTTTGAAAATTGCCTCTGGGCTTCTCAGGAATGGAGTTGAAGATTTCCTCTCTGGCTTTACCTCTGGCTCAACCTACACCCCATCCCTACCTGAGAACTTCACTTGGTGTCTGCACCCACAATCCTCCACCCTCTGAGGTAATCTTCCCAGGGCTTCCACTAGCAGATCCTGCGGCCAGGCCAAGCCTCACATCCAGAGATGTCTCTGCTCTGCCTACCCCAGCCTTCAGGCCGGCTCCACTTCTCATTCCCTCTGCTGGCCCTTCCCACCAGCAGCTCCATCAATCTCACAGCCAAACCCTGTCACTGAAGCAGAATGCTTGCCCAGCTTCCCAAGCTGCACTTCCCATCAGGCTCCTCGCAGCTCGAAGTTCAAAGCTCCAGAGCTCCTAGGCCTCCACAGACTTAGCCATAATGAAATGTGCAACCAGGAGAATGCTGCGAGCAGCCGGACTGTCCAGCTCCACTGATGGAAGCCAGGACCTCATGCATGCCAGTAAAGGACTCTGGCTCTACCACTAAGTCACCCCAGCCCTCAACCCCAGCTTCTAGTGAATGGGGACACCGAGGCCTGGAGAGAGTGGAGCCTCCAAGTAAGGAGGATGAACAAATTAGCCGGTCCCTTCTGTGACTTCCAGGGCCAGGAAGGGGACCAAAACAGCCTGGACCATCACTCCCACACCTCCAAGGGCTGGCAAGGTTGCTCATCTGAGAACCCAGCCCGAAGGCTACGTGAGCGCCAACTGAATTCCTGTGTAACTATAGACAAGTCCCACTCCCACTGGGCCCCAGTCCTCACCTAGAAAGCTAGAATATTGCCATGCATGGTGGCACGTGCTTGTGATTCCGGCACTCTGGAGGTGGAGGTAGGAAGATCGGGAGTTCAAGGTCATCTTCAAGAACGTGGCAAGTTCTGGGCAGCCAGGTCCAGGAAAAGCCTAGCAATGCCTCATTCCCGTCCACTGGTCTGGCTCCTACCTCTATCAGCTCTGTCTTCTACCTTTTCCATCGTAGTCTGAGCCACTAAAGGCTGGGGGAATTCCGGGTCAAAACTAACCCTGACCTGGCTTATGAACCTCAACCAGCTGGCCATCACTGGAGACCCAGTGAAATGTCAGTCCTGTGCGAGGGACATGTCCTTCCCTAAAGCGCTGATCATTAGACCGATCAAGGCCTGGCCCAATAGGTCCTTGCAATCTATGTGGGAACTTAGTGCAACCCTCCATTCCCTTGTTCCTCCCATTCCCAGCATCTGCATCCCTGCACAAGGGCAAATTCAGCGCACAGGAAAGCTCCTGGCCCTTCAAGTAGTGATGTCATGGGCCTGATCACAGCAGGTTCTCCTGCTCATCCGGGCCCTCTCTGCTCACACTACCTGCTGTCTCCCAACCTTTGTCTTCTATTAGAACAGGCTCCCCTACGGAGAGCTCACACATGCTCAGAATCCAGCCCATGCCTCGGCTTCCAGGCTGACTCCTAGACGGCCACTGCTCCTGGAGGCTCAGGTTTGACTTCTTTCAGGGAAGGCCCAAAGGCCTGGGTCCCATCTGTCAGTCTCATTAGCAGCCAGGAGCAGGCCTGGCATGGAGCTGAGGTCCTTCTGCTCTTGGAGGGGAAGTGAATGCCCAGTCCCCTGGCAGTCCCTCTGAGATGAACCGGGTACGTGGAAAGCAGGGAGTGCCTTTTACGTGCTGAGCTGAGCTTCACACACAACCTCCTGCTCCGCCATCTTGGGCAACAGGCACAGCTGAGAGCTAGGCATGCTGCTGCTTCCTCCCTGCCCTCAGCTTGGTTTCCTCCCCCAGGCCTGGCCTTCCACCTTTCCCATCTGAGACTGAGTTACCTTAGGAACTCCAGGGTCAAGCCTTTCCCTAGCATGGCTTCTGATCCCCAACGGACTGGCCATTGCTAGGGACACAGGGAAGGGTCATTACTCCTCCCTAGAGTGCAGCTCATTAGAATGGCCAGGACACAGATCTTGGCTCTTTACCAACCTGTCGCCTCCTACTGGATGAGGGCCTGGACCACACATCTCCTGCCCAGCCTGTGGCACTCCCACAACCACTTACCCCCAATTCACTATTTCTTGGGACACACGGGCTTTCTAGATCTCCCTCCTCCAGGCCCCATGGCCTCCCCTGGCTCAGTCTCCGTTCCCTTGGGACTCTCCCAGCTTTTCTCTCTCCATGGTTTGTGGCCGTATCTCCCATGATTCTACCAGTGCTCTTAGCACAGCAGCGTCTTTCTCCGACACGACTTCCCCTGTGTGCACGGTACCGTCACACAAACCTTCTCCAAAGCGACAGGCCACAGAGACCCTCACATGGCTTTCCCACATCGCCCTCACGGAACCTGACCAGATTATGAGGCACTGGAGTCAATGTATGGGCTTCTCTGGGGCACTGGTCCCAGAGAGATCAAGAAAGCTCACCCTGGGGAGGAATCAAGGTCTGAGCGAGGGAGGATGTCTCAGAGGCTTCTCACTGGGATGGTCCCACTGCTGGCCCTCCACTGAGCTTTTGAGCAAGAGCAACACTCGGGGTGACTCATGATGCTGTTGATCAGCCCTGCATCACTGGGAGACCAACAGAAGACTGTGGCCCCTGAAGCCTCAGACTGACATGGACGGCAGGCAGCCTCTCTCACTTCTGGCAGCTGCAGTAGTGCATGCTTATCAGAGCTGCAACCCACTGGCCCTCTGCTCTTCTTATACCAAGGAAATGGAATTTCAACGCGCATTGAGCCCACTTGCTAGAGAATTCCGTTCTGATGGGACGCCAGCAGCCATTCCCAAGCAGCTCTTCTGTCTCAACGCTCCCCTTTACAGGCTCTTACACAAAGTAAGCTGAGGCCTTTCAGCCTTCAAGACACAGGAGCCTGAATGAGAACTCTACCCATAAAGCTCTGGGCAGTGGCTCATACCTGTTAGTTCCATTACTCGGGAGGCTGAGGCAGGAGGATCACCATGAGTCCATGAGTTTGAGGCCAGCCTCGGCTACAATGTGGAACCCTGTCTAAAAAAAAAATCTACCTATGAACCCCAATTTCTATCCAATCAAGATATGTCTACCCCCACAGAAGAATCTGAATCTGAGGTTCAGGATGCCCCAGGCTAAGTCTTCTGGTGGCTGAGACCTCATCTACCAGTGCTGAGGGCCCTTCCCAAGCTATGAGGGGCAAGGTCAGCATTTCAGGGGATTAGGAGAAAATGCAGCCCCCCCACACACATAGACACAGCTCTGTAGGTCCATATCTTGGCAAGTCACATGGCCACTCTCCTCTGGGTGGACACAGCCCACATCGGGCCCAGGATACACTGCCAAGCAAGCAGAGCACTGGCTAGATTCCGTCCCTACTCACCTGTTTAGCAGAGAAGTATGCCACTGTGGGCTGTAGCCTGAAGGATGATATCCCTCCGCACCTGCAACGCCAGCATGGCA